CCTGACGAGAACCCGAGAGCAGGAACGTGTTCCATTAGTGCGTTTCCAGCAGGCGAGCGCTAACGCCGGCTGATGAGGATCCGGGAATAGGAACGTGTTCCATTAGTGCATTTCTAACATGTAAACACTAATGCCAGCTTGACGAGAGTCTGAGACATTTAATTTCTGTTGCTGCGAAGCACCAGCAGCCCGCTGAGAGGGTGCTGAGAGGTTTATAAGGGCCTCGTCGAGTTCAGTTTGGTGTGAGGAGCAGCACCGAGACCATGAGAAAGCTGTGACAGGAGCTAACCCCAGCCCCCAGCGACTGAAGCCTCACGGCCCCCTGTTTTCAGGAAGGGTGTTTGTCGCCCTGCTCACATGGTGCCCGGTCACCCCAGCACCACCCCTTCTCTCCAAGCTCCAAGGAGCAGGGGGAGCATGTACGCAGGGAGGAGGCTGAGAGCTGATGTTCCCGACACCTTGTGTCTGGATGACCAAGGGTGTCGATGCTCTGGTTTGAAGGACAGTGAAGCAGGTGTCTCCCAGGAGACTCCTATCAGTCCAACTTGGCCTCAAGCCACCTACTGTGTGCCAGGCACCATGCTAGGCACCGGAGCCCCAAACAGCCCTGCCTGGGACCCCGCTGCCGGACATGTAGCCTAATTAGTGCACCATGAAGTCTGTCCTGTGCTAACAAATCTGCACTGGCTTTGACAATCATGGCCATGCGACCTGTCCCTCTTCAGCCCAGGGGGAAACAAGGGGAAGCCCACTGATGTCAGAAGGCCTGACGTGTAGGAAGACAGGTTTCCCAAGTTGTGAAGAGCCCCCCACTCCCTTGCCCTCCTCAAATTCCCTACTCACCAGGCAGCCTTCCAGTTCTTATCACAGGGCCATTGTCCCTCTGGGGGCACCTCTGCCCAATAGGGCCGGAAGGCTCCCCACTGACCTGCTCTGACCCTCCCTTTCCAAGGACAGCACCCTCTCCTACAGCCACATTCGGGGGGGGGGGTCACATAGCAGGGAAGTGGGGGCAGAGGAAGGCGTGCAGAACAGAAAGTAACTGGATTGAGGAGAGGTTTGTTTGCCATAAATCTCTTCAGAATTTTACATGGAGCTGGAGATTATTGACAGGAGTTCAATTCAATAAAACAGTCATTTAATTAAACTTTAAATGATCCAAATATTTGCAGTTTGGTTAATGTTTGTGTAGCTGACAGGAGCAGAGTTATGACGGTCTGTCCGTTTGCACACGTTCTAATTCGCGTGAGTCTTTCGTGTGCAAAGTGCACGTCTTCAGACATACAAACGATGGGCGGGCGCGCTCAGCAAGGACGCGGGAACTGGCTGTCCCACGGCAGATGGCGAGATGCACACACTTCCCACGTGGGTGTTTTGGTTGTTTGGTTGTTTGTTTTTAGCCTGTGCCATAGGCTCTCAGACATTCTCCTAAAACTTTTTGAAATATATGGCTTTTGGGGGCCACATGGAGGAGGGACTCCTGTGTTGCACATAGGTCTACATTCCAAATGAGGGCCGTGCTCCTGGCCGGTAATCAGGGCCCCGGTACCCCAGCCAGACAGAATACCTCACCTCCCCAAACCCACCTGCACTGCCTTCCCATCTGTGCAGACACCCCCATCTTTTAAGATGGGGTTCTCAGGCCTCAGGGTACCACAGAAGCCCTGAGGTGTTTTAATGTATGAGCAAAAGGGTGTATATATCTTTCCGAATTAGTGTTTTGGATTTCTTTGGATAAATACCCAGAAGTGGAATTGCTGGGTGATACAGTAGCTGTATTTTTAATTTTTTGAGGAACCTCTATACTGTTTTCCATAGTGGCTGCCCCAGTCTGCATTCCCACCAGCAGTGCACCAGGCTCCCCTCTCTCCACACCCTCGCCAGCACTTGGTTGATGATTTGTTGATGGAGCCATTCTGACAGGTGTGAGGTGATACTTCATTGTGTTTTAATTTGCATCTCTCTGATGATTAGTGACATTGAGCGTCTTTTCACATGTCTGTCCTCTTTGGAGAAATGTCTATTTAGGTCCTCTGTGCATTTTTAATCAGATTGCTTGTTTTTTTTGGTGTTAAATTATATGAATTCTTCATATATTTTGGATATTAACTCCTTATTGGGTGTATCATTGGCAAATACCTTCTTGTCTTTTCATTTTGTGAATGGTTCCTTCACTGTTCAAAAGCTGTTTAGTTTGATGTAGTCCCATTTGTTTATTTTTTCTTTTGTTTCCCTTGCCCAAGGAGATATATCCCAAAAATATTGGTAAGAGCAATGTCAGAGTTTACTGCCTATGTTTTCTTTTAGGTGTTTTATGGTTTTGGGTCTTACATAAGTCTTTTGTTGATTTTGAGTTTATTCTAGTATATGGTGTGAGAAAGTGGTCTAGCTTTTTTTTTTTTTTTTTTTACATTATCTGTCCAGTTTTCCCAACACCATTTATTGAAGAGACTGTCTTTACCTCATTGTATATTCTTGTCTCCTTTGTCATAGATTAATTGCCCATATAAGTGATAACATACCTGACTTCTTCCCAAGCACCACTCACCAGCCATTGGGAGAAAAATGCACCTAAATATTCAATCCATTTTAAAGCTTAGTCCAGGCTGATCATATTAGCAGTCCACATAAGTATTGCTCTACCTATGAAAAATGCTTCGTGTTTCCAGTTCCCCTCGCTGCGTCCCAGCCGCTCCTCTCTCTGGTTTCTGAGGGTGGAGGTAAGCACCTGCCATCCTGCACCACCTCCGTTCCTGCGGCCCGGACCCCACACACACCCCTCCCCAGTTGCCCTGTCCCAGGTCAGCCCTGGCTGTGCTCTTGGTCTGGACGCTCTCAGCCTGGTGGAGCCTGGAGCCGAGGTTCCCCCTGGTTCAGCCTCCAGCAGATCCCGCTGGCACTGGGCACCCCTCGAGGTCGGGAGGTCACTGCCTCTGGGCCCAGCTCTGACTGTCCAATGCAGCCCTCAGGTACAGAGGTACAGAGCACCTCAAGCCCAGCCAGTGCACAGGCAAGGACTCTGGGCCCCTCCAGGCCACTCAGGGGCCAAGGGGGCTCTGGCAGATGATCCCAGGCCCTGGCTCTGTCACACCATGAGTAGTGGCCCCAGGTGGGGAGGGAGCTAGCTGGTTGGAGACAGTTCACCTCCTCCTAGAGCTCCCCTCCCCTGCTTCCCCTCACCTACACACTAACCTTTGCACTCCTTGCCCTTCCCACAGTCTCCCCCATGATTCCCATAACGCCTGGACGAGGGGGGCTATTCCATGCCTCTTCCTCCCTCCATAGAGCACAGAGCCTCGTGGTTTCCCAGGAGGAACAGGTACCTCGTCCATACTTGAGGGAAGCTGGGTTCTAAGTCCTCAGGGCCGGCACAGTACAGTGGGAGCTAAACAATTTGAGCAAATTCTTCTTCTCTCTCCCTCTCTCGCCCTCTCCCCTCCAAAGCCAGGGCCTTTCTACAGTGGGCCAGCGCCTTCTCCGCCCCGAGCAATAAGCCTCATGACTCAGAGGTGGAAGGGCAGCAAGCGAGAAGCGACTGAAGCGGGAACGTGAAACACATTGTGTTGTTTGTGAAATATTATGCCGGTTGCATCTCCATCAATCATGCAGTGCTTATCTCTCCTCGTGCAGCTCTGTCACCAGGAGCCACATTCGTCCTGTGTGTGATTATCCCCTCTGCACTGGCCTGCTGGCTCCTTTCCTTCTTTATTTCCATTTTCTCCGTTTTGCATCCATCCAGTCAACAAGCACTGATTAAGCACCTAGTATATACCTTGTTTTTCTCTGTGGGCCCAGGGCAGGGCCACTGAATGATTGTGGAGGGGGAAGGGCTTTGCTCCTCAAAATCCCACCTCACTGCACCTGCTTTCAGGTCACCTGCTTCGCAGTGCATCCCACCTGCAACGTGCAACTGTTTTGTGCCCCTTCCCCTCCCCTCCCCCTCCCACACACTGGCAGGAGAGTGTGAGCACAGATGTTCTGCCTTATCTCAGCTCAAAAGTGTCCTGCTGAGCCACAGAGCTCCATTCGCAGCTCTCTGCCTTGTTCCATACCTGTCAGAACCCCCCAGGCCCCAGTAGAGTCTCAGTCAGAGTGAACAGGGCTCCCAGCACTTTTGCTGGCCTCCCAGAAAACACACAGGCCCCCAGAGCCAGCCCCTCCCTCAGCTCCTGCCGCCTCTGGCTGCTGCCCCAGGCCCCCTGAGTTGCAGATTTGGGAGAGGCAGTCCGGCCAGTGGGCTGGTGACTCTCCCTTCAAGCCTGATCCCATTTTGGCATTTGAACATCTGAGTCCGAGGAATTTTTTCATAAATCCCAAGAATTTCAGAAAGTCTGTGATCAAAGGGAAATAGTTTAGACCCTTCCCACTTGCCTGAAGAATAATCAGTCTTAATGCCAGTTATCAAGTGGGAAATGGCAGGGATTAATAATTTGTGCAGCCTGAAGTACACTTCAAAAAATTAAAGGCTACCATGCATGGTAGCTGAGCAGAAATCCAAGTCCGAGTTCAGAGAATCCTCAGAGAGAAACAAGCCTTCAAAGGTCAGCCAGTCCGCTCCCCACACTTCAGACAGTGCAGCCTTTAAATTGCTCCCAGATGTCGGCCCAGCCAGCGGACCTTGACTGCGCTTAGCCGCCCGGCTCCGAGAGGCCTGAGGCCCCCGAGCACAGGGCGGGTGCTGCTTGTCTGGTCCCTGGTCGCTGTGTGGTGACCCACATTCTTGGCTTGACTCACAGATCCCCAGCCCAGATCGTCCTGCACACTCGGTGTGGCTCCTGACCCCGTTCTGACCCCACAGAGGCCTTTGCTCACTTGACATAAGTTGTGGCCCCTCTCCCTGGAGGTGTGTCCATCTGTAAGTTTTGTGAGCACATGGGGGACAATTTTCCATTGCCTTAAAGCAACCTGGGCCCCTGCCCTGCAGGAAACCCCGTGGCCATTCCCCTGTGAGCGGAGGCTCCTCCCCAGGCCTGCACCTGACGGCCCTCTTCCCCCTGCAGAGGTGGTTCAGCTCAGCCTCGCCCCGGAGGAGAGGGTCAGTGTGACCACAGTGACCGTGGGGCTGAGCACAGTGCTGACGTGTGCTGTCCGCGGAGACCTGCGACCCCCCATCGTCTGGAAGCGCAACGGGCTCGCCCTGAACTTTCTGGATCTGGAAGACATCAATGTAAGTCACCTGGCTCCGACTCGGCTCAAACGCACCTCCCGGGGAAGCAGCCTGTGCGAGACTGCGGCAGAGCAGGGCCTGAGGGGTCTCTTCTGACGCCCCATATTTGGTACCTTCCAACCTGTTGTCTGACACCTGGAGGTACCAGGAAACCTACTGGGGTCCACCACATGCAGAGGTAGGATGCATGCTGGCTGCAAGCCTGCCCCGAAGAAGGTGAACAGGGGAGGGGAGGGGAGGGGACAGGCAGGGCAGGAGGTCCTTGTACAGGCCACAGCAGCAAGGCAGGGGGTGGGCGTGAGGATGGCATGTGAGAGGAGGGGGCCGTGTATTGAGCGCACCCTCAGAGGGAGGGACCACAGTACAACAGAACATGGCCAGGCAGGAGGGCTCCCGGCAGGGAGAACATCTGGGTGAGGTCCCCCAGGGGGTGGGAGGAGGGACTCCGGGCCTAAAGCTGGGCAGGATGTAGACAGATGACACAGGGGACGAGGGATTCCCTGTGGAGGACAGAGGTGAGGTCCTGGGCTGGGCTGGTTGGAGGGCAGGGGCCAGGTGCTGAGGGGAAAGGAAATGAGGTCAAGCCAGAGGGGTCTGCCCAGGGGCCTTGTTTGTGGGGTGGGAAATGGGGATGTGACAAGTTGAGTGGGAGAGCCCCTGACCTCACACAGCCTAACGTGACCAACAGGAGTACATCTGTACCCTGAGGGCCCAGGCACCCTGGGCTGGGGTCCCAGCATTACCCGCAACACACTGCCTTTGGCACTTTGAGCAATTTCTCACACAGCTGGTCCTCAGTGAATTAACCTACCAGAAAAGCAACATTAGCGGAACCTCCCTTCTACTGGAATTGAGGAATACAGGGATTAATTCAGAAACATTTATTGGCCCTGGTTTGGCCCAGGGGGCGAAGTGGCTTCCCAGAAGTTCATGTGAGAGGACAGAGTGATGTCACCCATGCAGTATGCTGCAGGTCAGCAGCTACAGGAACAGGAAAATATTTTCGGGCAGAAGAGGGAACAGCCCTGGTCTTGGCTCAGGACAGGTCAGCTGGCTCAGAATAGGATGCCTGGCCCAGAGAAGGAAGACCTGTAGGATGAGTGCTCCGTTCCCATTAACAGTGCTAAGGTGCTGGGGCAGAGGGAGCTGGCCTGAGCTATGTGACCCCTGAGCTAAACTAGCTCAAAGAGCCAGGGTGCACCCCAAAAAGAGACGAATTTTAGCTCATTAGCTGGAACAGCCCTGCCCTGCAATGGAGTGAGCCATCCCTAGACATGCAAGCTCAAGCAGCAGGTGGGAAGCAGCACTGCTGGCCACAAGAGGGCAGCGAAACCCCACGCCCTTGAAGATCCCTTCCAGCTCTGAGGCTGCTTTATGGGGAGAGGCTCAGTATGAAATTCTGCAGGAATCCCCCGAAGTTGGGACTCTGCTCCTCTCTGGGTCCCTTTGGCTGCACCCTAGAGGTTGTGTGGGAAGCAGACAGAAAGAGGGGCCACCATGGAGTTTCACCCTGGGCAGAGCTGGCAGGAATGCCCTTCCCCACCCTTGTCACACTGGGCAGGGCTGTTTTCTTGTGATTTACCCATAGGCTGTATCCTACCCATCTCTGAATGTCAGTGCCAGCACAAGCCTGGCGGGTGCATGGTGGACAGGTGCTGGATGGGCAGAGTTCTGAGCCTAAGATGCCCAGAGTATGTCTGGGATCTTCGCAGGGGAAGGCAGTGCCCTGTATGTTAAGCCTAGGGTGTGTGTTTGTGTGTGTGTATATCGGGGTGCACATTTGTGTGTGAAAAGCTCTCAGCTTTTAGCCGTGTCTGGCCAGTGGTTATTGGTTCAGAACCAGGAGAGGTCCCCCTGTGTTTGTCTGAACGTCCATGGGCAGTGCTCGATGTTCTATTTAAAGACACCAGAAGTAAAGGCGGAGGCAGAACTCCTCTTAATGCACTTGCCATCAGTTAATTAAATTACTTTGAGTGTTTTCCCCTCCCTCGAACATGCCTCTAGCACCAACTCAATTGCATTTTTACTTTGCACAGTGAGGTTAGCAATTTGGGTAATTGTGGGTGCAACTGGAGATTGATGGTCTCTCGTTACCTCCCAGGAAGCGCTTGCTGCTCGTGGTCAAGTCAGCAGCCCACAGATAGGCAGAGCTCTGTGCTTCTCAGAAACCCCCATGTGAGGGTACAGGGCAGCCCCAGCCCCATGGGGGTCCTCACCTGATGCATGCAACCACACACCACACACACATACACAAGCACACACAACACAAGCACACACATACACATATACACACACAAAAACACCATACACAAGCACACACATGTACAAACATATACACACAAAAAACACCATACACAACACAAGCACACACAACACAAGCACACACACCTATTCACACATACACAGTGTGCATGCAGGCTGACGTGGCCCCCTGCCTAAAGAGGAGGAAGGCAGCACAGCCTGCTAGTAAGGGCGCAGGCTCTGAGGGTCAGAGGTACCTGGGTTTAAGTTTCAGCTCTGCTACTTGCTAGTTGAATTACCTTGGAAAGGACACTTGACTCCTCTAAGCCTCAGTTTCTTCCTCTGTGAAATGGGGATGAATACTAGCTCCTGCCTCATAAGGTTATAGTGAAGATTAAATGAGAAGATACATGTGACATCCTTAGCGTAAGTGTTATCACGTGCTAACTATTACCATTCTCATCCTCATCATTACTGCTGCTGCTGCCAAACAACACCTTGCATCCTGAGGCCCCAGCAAGCAGCCAGCAGAAGCCATCAGGCTCCCCAGTCAGGCAGCTATGACCCTCGCTGCCCCACTGCCTGTCCTCAGGACAGGGCAACGCTGTCCACGTCAGTCCTGATCCATGCAGGGAGACAGACAATGACCAGCCATCTCCCCACCCCCGGTCCAGAGAAATCTGGGGTGAACTGTGTGACTTCTAGCCTGTGCGGCAATAGGGATGAGGAGCATTTTCAGGTTGTAGGTGTGTGACTCGCCTAGCCAGGTGCCCAGCACCCAGCAGGTGTTCATAAGTGGCAGTCCCCCTCTGGGGACAGTAAGGACAGCAGCCCTGGGAAGAAATCAGCTGTAGAGGGGGACAACCAAGAACTCCGGAATCATGGGCCATTTTTGAAGGGAGATTGGTCAGGGGAGAACAGCCCAGGAGGGCAACCCTGATGGGGCAAAGATCAGGGATTGATCTGCTCCTAGAGCCTCTCGGCACGTGCGTCCCAGCACCCACTCGCCCCGCAGTCAGAGATGGAGCACTGTCCCCAGCGTCGTAATTAGCGCCTGGCACCAAAGCGCTGTGCAGACCAGGAAGCTGATCAGCCTACCAAACCCAAGGCAGGGAGCTGAGCGAGCTCGGGGGGGTGTGGGCCCCCTTGTTTTGTCATTCATGAGACATCTTGATTGGCAACAAAATATTAATCACTTTCACTACTCTCTTAATGAGATGCTTTCATGGGCAACAAAATATTAATTTGTCTTGTCTTATCTGTTAAGAATTCTGTTAATGAATTCACTCATGGAGCTATTACAGAATGCCATCCTAATGACACATGTAATTAAACTTTTCTGACTTGCAAACATCAAGAATGCCTCAAGCATCAGAATAATATTTGATTAGAAAGTAAATGTACCCTCTAGCCTGGAGCCAAGTGAAAAGGATCCTCTCAGATTCCCCAGTGATCAGTGTCGCTGTCAGAAGCATTCACGAGTCACCGTGTGTGTGTGTGTGTCTGTGTGTGTGTGTGTGTAGCCATCCAGATGGCTCACGTGGGGAGTCATCCTCTGGATTTGCTTACTCAGAGCCGGTGAATCCAAGGCCTGTGCCAGAGCATAGAGCAAAGACACCCTGGGCCTGGAGGGGGCTGAGGCATCTCAAAGGCAGAATTGCAGCAGGAGCGGCAGGTTCCGTATTGCAAAGAGGGAGCCAATCCTGGGGGCACAGGAAGGAGACGTTCTGACCCTGGTTCAGGGACAGTGATAAGCAAGAGAGAGGTTGGGGCCAGAACATGACAGGCCTTGAATATTAACATAAAGGATCGTGGCTGTTCCCTTGGGCAGTGGGACTCATAGATCTTTAATTGGGGAGTGACATGGTCAAATGTATGTTCTTCAGGAGTCCTGAGCCCCTCCCAGCCTAAAATTAAACATGAACCTAGGGAGGACCCCAAATAAATGGGAACCAAAAATGAGGGGAGCCCTGCTGGTGCTCTGCAGGGGAGGTAGGGAGAAGGGTTGGGGGTCTTCCTCCCCAATACCTTCCCCAATGGTGCATTCAGAGTGGAGCCGTGCCCTCGGATGCCTGGAGCTGCTGCCTAAGGTTCTCCTCTCATGGCCCTGGCTCAGGTCATGGCTCAGGTCACAGTGTCTTCACCTCCTCAGGCTGCTGGGAAGTTTAGCGAGGACCTCGTGTGCCTGCTGAGGATGCCTGAGCCACCCACCCTTTGCAGGAGGCCCCAGCTTACATGAGGGACCCCTGCTTCGGCCACGCTGGAAAAACACTGCCCCCCAGCAGAGAGCAGCATTGGTGACCAAGAGTGCAAGGCCCCAGAGACAGGTGTCCCCAGCAGAAGGTGCAGCCCCGGGAACGCCCTGTGGCCTCCAGCAGTGGGTCTCTGGATTATGACACCTCTTCAGTTTGTTCGATCAGAAATCAATAGTTTCTACTCCCACACCTACGCAAGCTAACAAAGGCCACCTGTAATTTGTTTGTTTCCTGGCCAACTGCCCCCAGTTTCTTTACTGAAGCAGTTACGTGTTTGGGCGGCTTCAGACCTGGCCTTGTAGCCTCCTACCTTAGGCTTTCAGGACCATGACCCACTGCCCCCACCTCAGGAGCTAAGTGGGGACAAGGCCATGGCCACTCCCTGAGCTCGGCCTGCCCTGGTCTTGAGCCAGAGCTGGAGCCCGAGCTCCAGGCTGCTCCAGGCACCCCCACAGAAAGGGTACCAACTGGGTTAGCCTCGGAGGACTCTCACCGCCCTGAGGT